TTTTTATCATTCGTTTTGGACCACAAGTTATAAAAGTTTTCCTTTCTTTCTTAAATTCTGTGTCGAGTCAAACTATCTCACATAAAATGAGACGGAGAGAATATCTATTAGCTTCAATAGCAAAAACATCTTTTGGGGTGAGATTTGAGTGCCTTATTCATCAAATAATGAAAGACGAAATGGCCTGAGAAATTCTTATACTTGGCTCGATTTGTCATTTGAATCCTTGTACTTCACAAGGTTTCATCTAGGCACTTCTATTTGTTAAAATTCACTATTTTAAACCCATTGATCGTTGAACGACCCCAAGTATTGCATTAATTGTGATAGTTCGGCTATTTGAAGAAAAGACATCGAATTATACAAAGTGCCCTAATGCTATGATGTTAACACAATCTGGTTGGCGGCATTTTCTAATTAAAAAACATAAAAGATTATTTGGATCATTGTTCTAATGTATCTCAGCCCTTCTGCAAGTTCCAATTTAGAAGGCTGAAATTAGAAAACAAAACAATGACCAGTAAAATGAATTCTCCTTTAAAGTTGATGATAATGAGCATAAAATCAGGCGAAGAGTCTAATCCTACGCATACACATATAATTTTAAACTAAAAATAATTAAAGTAAATAAATTAAAAGAACAAAAAAAACAAAAATTGACATCGTTGTTTTCTTTACCCCATACACCCCTTGTTTCGTTGCCCCACCCCACCTTACGCCTTCGTTCTTCCTCCATTTTCACCACCTTAAAGCTTCAAGCAATACTTGAGAAAAGCAATCAAAAGCTTTTATGGATAGAAATTATTTGAACAAAGAAAAAATTAGAGGAAACAATAATTTTATTTCTCTTAATTAAATTCAGTTTGTACAAAGTTCTTAACTTTCAACACAATCAATTATATATTTTAAACACAATACTAATATCACCCATAAGCTAAATTTTAAAAAAAATAAGAGGAAAACAGACACACAAAAAATCTCTATCAACGAAGAATACTATTAAGTATTAACATAGAAGAACACCATAAATTTTCCTTTTATGTGTTTTTTATCAGTGAATTTTACAGCTATTTTTTTTATTTTATAATTTGAAACATCTTAAAAATCTATTTTGCTAGTAGTTTTGAATGAAGTGAAGAAAATAGAAAAAAAAATGGAAAAGGGGAAGGGGATATTTGATTTAATACTTTTTATATATTTAATTTCTTATGTGGCATTGTAAAATGATGTAGGTAGTTGTTTGTATCACATGTACATCTATCAAATGTGAAAAGAATTTAAAATATTGAGTTTCATTATGTTTAAGTGTCTAGTTGACAAAATTATGAATAAAAATTAGGTGACAAATCAAGCAAATAAAGGTCTCTTAAATTATTCCGTCAAAAATACGCTGCAATTGAGTATTTACTTTTGAAATATGAGTGAAGTAATCAAAATATGCGTTCTAAATATAGATTTAATTTATGGAGCATCTCATAATTTGTATAAGCCCTGCATTGACTACTAAAATAAATTTGACCAGTCAATTTTCAATTTTGCATATATTAAGTAACATAAATAATCTAGCAAGTAAATTTATTATAATCTACTACATAATTAAATAAAAATAGTATTCAAATATAATACATTTAACATCATAAAAAATATCATATTAGTGTACAAATCAACAATTTAAGCCCCTTATGATAATATATCTATCAAAAAATCAAAACAACCAACTCACAAAAAGTAATCAGCAATAAACATATTCAATACAATACACAATAAATATCAACACTTACACAAGCCTTGTTAGTTGATTTTCTCTTCCTCTATTTTTGTTGTCCTATATAATTTTAGATGTTGGGCTTTGAAATAGATATCTCATCCACAAAATCATTATCATTATTAATATTTTTTTGTTTTGTATCAACATCTTCTTTTCTCTTTTTACATTTCAACTTTAGTGCTTTCGCATTTTTTTCAACATCGATTTATCCTTTCATTTTTTTTTATGACTTTTAGAACTAATGTTTGTCACTTTGTCATGTTTCATAAAACTCAAATGTTTGTTGGAAAATTCCTAAATGAGCTAATGTTTGTCACTTTACCAATAAGGACTCTCTTGATAGAGTAAAATCTCGCTAAATTAATATAGGTGGGATTATGAAGTATTATTATTTTATAGAGATATTATTTTTAATCAATAAATTAATAGTTATTAATTTAAAAAGTGTTTTGACATCTCAATATTCATTTGGGGATGAAATCTCAGAGATTTTAAATGAATCCACTTGTGAAAACGTCATACATGAACTTGAGATCATGATTAATGGTCTCAGTTACAGTAATAAAATGGACGTTAATAACTTGTTGGATGGATGAAAATGATACATGTTCATAGGTCGAGAGCTTAGAAGAAATTATGGATACCATTGAAAAAAATAATGTTGATGATAAAGTAGAAGATGATACAATATCTTTGGAACAAGTTACGGTTAGGAAACACTTATTACATTTAGAACATTTCACAATTTTATGGTGCAGTTCAAAAAGACAACGCCGAAACTTTTGGATGCAATAAGAAAAGTTAGAGATGAGCTTCAACAATATTTAAATTTTAACAAAAAAAATAGAACACAATAGAATCATGTTTCACTAAATTGTCATAGATATATTTGTACTAATAATGAATTATTAATTTATAATATTAATGGAACCATATATTTATATAGGGGTTTTTAGAAAATATATTATCTTACCGAAATGGGTGATTTTTTCTATTGGCCCAAGTCGGGACCGAAGAAAAATATTATTTTAGAGAGGTTATTAATTAATCGAGTATTAATTTAGTGAGGTTTTACTGTATGTAATCAGCTATTAAAAATATGTTACAAATAGTAATAAAATAAAAGTAGGAAAATTTCATAAATAGCAAATATTAGGCCTTAATAGGACTCCTTTAGCTACAATTTTAATAATTACAGTTCGCAGTTACACTTTCATTTGTTATGCATTTGTATTCGTCATACTTTTTCGTGAATTTCGAAGAAAACAATATAAATACAAACCGATTTGTATCAAAATCAATACGTATTAGGAGGAGAGAAGCGAGTGAGATCGAGAGAGGGAGGAGAGAGGAAAGCGCGATCGGGAGAGAGAGGAGAGCGGATGAATACATAATGTTAACAAATATAAGTGGTACAGAATACAAATATAATTGATACTGAATAAAAATATAATTGAATACAAATTTAATTTTTCGAATACAATTGATATAATATACAATTCTATCACCTATATTTGATTGGATACAATTGTATGAATTTCTTCTTATTGGCCGGAGAGAGAGCTATAAAAACAACGGAAAAGGCTCAAAAATACCCCTAAACTATCGAAAATAGCTCAGATTACCCTTAAACTATATTCCGGCTTAAACTACCCTTTCCGTCAAAGTATTGGGTCACACTTACCCTTCTAGTTAACAGAAGTATGTTAAGTGCCACGTGGACGACACATGAACACCACATGGACGCCACATAAGCGCCAAACATTTCTCACTTCAGTATTGGGTCACACTTACCCTTCTAGTTAACAGAAGTATGTTAAGTGCCACGTGGACGACACATGAACACCACATGGACGCCACATAAGCGCCAAACATTTCCCACTTTCACGTAGACTAATAAGATCCCTAATATCTAATTTTCCCCTCATTTCTCTTAAGATACGATTTCACCAATTTTCCCTAATAAACAAATAATTTTTCCCTAAATCTAACATACCAGAATATTATAAACAAAGTCGCAAGCCCTAACTATCCATAGCTTTGAAATCGTAAACCCAGCCGCGATAAAATAAGAACAAAGATTTACTAACCTACAGCCGCGAAGATCCACTTTAAAACTCAACCGCGAAATCAACTTCGAAACTCAGCCGTGATATGAAGGAATCTGTGAAATCGTTTCTTACCCTAGCCACGAAAATGAGGGGAAATGGGTGACATCGTATTGAGGGGAAAATTAGATATTAGGGATCTTATTAGTCTACGTGAAAGTGGGAAATGTTTGGCGCTTATGTGGCGTCCATGTGGTGTCCATGTGGCATCCACGTGGCACTTAATATACGTCTGTTAACTAGAAGGGTAAGTGTGACCCAATATATACTTTGACGGGAAGGGTAGTTTTGAGCCAGAATATAGTTTAAGGGTAAATATGAGCTATTTCCAATAGTTTAGGGATACTTTTGAGCCTTTTCCATAAAAACAATATATAATGGTTTTTTGTAATTTTTTTAATCTATAACTAATTTTCATAAATATTTTGGCATTTTTGCCTTGTTCCATAATTTTCTCTTTTAATTTCCATTCTCGTAGTGGAAGTTGGATTATATGTTTGTGATTTAATTTTCTTTCTCTTAGACTTATTTGATACATAATTCGATAATTATTAATCTGATATCAAATCAATCGATATCCTAGCAGATCAGTACATTTAATCTTATTAGTTTAGTGGAGAAGTTACAACGTGTATTGCCGACAGCACTAGCTCACCAGTACTACTCCAATCCAATAGCATAGTAGTTCATGCACAAATAGTTGAACACAGAAAATTACACTCAAATCTTCAAAATGACAAATAGATTCTTGATAGATTTTCTACATACTGTACATAATACAACATGATACACTGAACAAAAAATAGTTGCTACAATAAACTGAAAACAGAACACAAGATACAAGTCATAAGAATGAGTGGAAGACATATAAATGTTTTTGTTGGTGGGAAATGGCATATATCCTATGGATAGTCGAGTGCACACAAGCAAGCACGAACACCACCATAATTAACAAAAAAAAATAAAGAAGAAAGGTATATAAAAGTGTCTGCACATTGAAGGCTGCCTTACATTAAAGTTGCAAAGGACTACTACTGACCCTGTGAACAAAAACTTTGAGAGGGCTGGTCCAAGAAAGAAAATCCACACTAGGGAAGCAAGAGAAGAACTGATTTCTCTTATGCTTAAGCATATTCAGGATTCAACGCCAAGGCTTCTTGATAAATCATGTCTTTAATCTGCTCTTCTCCTATCCCTTGTTGCTCAAAGTCGAAAGAGAACGGGATGGGGCAGACTGGTTCATCAGCGGCATCATGGAGCTTTGCGAGGTATGGATGAGCTAATGCTTCCTCAACTGCAACCAAAGACAAATATATCACACGATGAGCTTAAAAGAGAATGAATCGAAAATGTTGTAGCAAGAATCTTACTTTAGTGTAGCCTAGGGGTGTCAAATGGGGGGGGGGGTCAAAATAGGCTGAATTGATAAATAAGCAGGTCAAGTCCAAAAGTTATTTGGCCTAAAATGAGCTAAAAAGCAGGCTTATGCAAAAATGAACTCTTTTTACTGAGGAAGCAAGAATAGGGGTGCGCATCGGTCGGTTCGGTTTTAGGTGTTATTGGTTCGGTTTATCGATTTTCGGTTTGTAAATACATCAAACCGATAACCAAACCAATAACATATTTCTTATCGGTTTTTGGTTAATCGGTTTATGGTACTTAACGGTTCAGTTTTCGGTTTAACCAATAAGAAAATACTCATATATATTATATATACGATAAGAAAATTTTCAAATAAACCATATGATCTTTCCAGCATTTGGCATGAAAGTAATAATCATAAAAGTAACAATCATTTTTCTTGCAAGTTTAGACTAGACACATTCAAAGGAAAAAATGTAAAAGTAACAATCGTTTAACCATTAATAAAAAGTGTGAAAGTAACAATCGTTTAACCATTAACAATAAGACTAGTAAATTTAGTATAGTCTTATTGGGTTATCGGTTTAACCATTAAAAATAATTATAAAACCGAAAACCGAACCAATAACCCAATAAAAATTTTGCAAAACCGTTTAAAACCGTTAGCCCAATAACCCAATATCAATAAACCAATAGTGTTTTTTCGGTTCGGTTTATTGGTTAAATCGGTTTTTGCACACCCCTAAGCAAGAATGACAAGCTTTCCTAAAGATAAGTGACGATAAACATAATGGAGTGACTGTAACTGCCATAGATTTACAGTCTATTGTGTTTAATCAACCCCTTCTTTTTTTAATCACAAATTAATTAACTTGATATTATATTAAGTCTTTCTTCCCGAAGGGACTTGCAGTCGCGTTAGCTCCTCTTATTACACTAATGCAAGAAGGAAGAAAGTTTCAGTAAGAAGATATGGTGGCAAGATGGACTCCATGAGTTGAAAGTGTGAATACATTCAAGAAAAAAGGTATATTATGATGTTATTACAAAAAGAGATTCTTTTGAGTCAAATTGTTGGTCTTTCAAGCTTTCCAGTCCATCTTAAATAGCAGTGCAGATAGGAAAATTACCTGTAATTCTTCTAGTAGGGTCGAGTGTCAACATCTTATCTACAAGATCAATGGCTAATGGATTTACATGAGGGAACACTGTTGCTAACTGCTGACGTGGATGTTGTGGGAGTTGCCTGACATATCTTTTTGCATCTTCATTTCGGAGGAAGCTAAGATCAGATTCTGTAGGAGTGCCAAGAAGCTGAGAAAAATAAAGGCAGAAATGAGCATTTGTTTCTCACAAAAATCACTCAGAAAGGTATGCTAAGTTATTATTTGCAGTCTAAAATAAGCTCATGTTAATGGTTGTTTGGAGGGAAGGAAATTTTCCCATTTGGACAGCTCGAATAGATGATGTCAAGTCAAGAATCCACATGGTAAAGCGTCGTTCCATCTAAAAACATGAAAAAAGTGTATCCTATTCTGTTATATATATATTTCATCAATCAGTTTTTACCTCAGTTAGCAAGCGTATTTGATGTACATGATCTTTTCCAGCAAACAAAGGTTTTCTATTCATAAGCTCCATGAAGATGCAACCCACAGACCAAACATCTATGGCAGCAGTGTAATCTGAAGAGTTCAACAAAAGCTCCGGTGCCCTGTACCATCTGGTAACTACATATTCTGTCATATTCTCGTTCTCTAGGTTTGGCCTTGCAAGACCAAAATCACATATCTTAAGATCACAATTTGCATTTAGCAAGAGGTTACTTGGTTTGAGATCTCTATGAATAACATGCGCTGAATGTATGTACTTTAGCCCACGGAGAAGCTGATACATGAAGTACTGCAAAAGAAACATTTTAAAAATATTTAGAGAAACAATAAAGATGGTATCCATGAAAGCATTTGGGTGAGCAGGGGGTGGGTTTACCTGGCAATGATCCTCTGATAAACCTTGGTTCGATCGAATTATTTGGTGAAGATCAGTATCCATGAGTTCAGTAGCAATGTATACATCAGAAAACTCCCTTCGTAAGGGCGGAGGAATCACATCTCTTAAACCAATGACCTGCATAGCATTTTTGATTTCCTTGATAAGCAAAAAGTATGAGGTACTTGTACTATATAATTTTTCATAGTGTAATAGTGATTGTAAAAATTTTATGTCCAATTGTAGATAATTTGCGTATTAAGACAGCCGGAAAATCATGATACTTTACAGCTGAAAACCAGAGGAATAGTTTATTATCGGCTTTTGGAAATTCCACTACAGCGAGGGAGATCAGTTGGGATCGACTATATGAATCTTGTATATTCATTCACCGTATTCAGGCTCATTTCAGTCCAATACTAATCATAACTCACCTCACTTTTCCTATACAGATAACTAGTTACTCCCAACTATACACATATCCTGATACTAGGGGGAAAAGAGTGAAACAGTACTAGTCTGTAAAGCAATAGCCAAAGTGAAAAAGTTACACAAGGATACTCACATTTTCATGGTCTAAATGGCGAAGAAGCTTAATTTCACGGAGCGTCCTCTTAGCATCCATGTAATTATCAAAAGCATTGGCGATTTTCTTAACTGCAACCATCTCATTCAGCTCCGCATTAAACACAGAGCTTCACACAGATAGACACAAAAAGTACCATAATTAGTCACTCAAGAGTAGTAGCAAATCCAAAATTTAAAGTCAACAAATACACGAACTAAATATGTCAATGTCATGTGCAACTACTACTTATATACTAGATTCAGACTATATTGTCAATACAAAGGGTGAAAATCCCCAAGAAAAAGTAACTTCATGGAACTCAACGGTGTGGCACATAGATAAAACTATGAGATTTCTTTCCATTTGCTTTAGCCTTGATGGAAAGAGCTATTGACAATCAATGATGGACGTAGCTCTAGTGCAATGGATTCAACTTAACCTAATTTATACGACACTCTTTCCTTTTTCAGTCGTTCAAAATAGAATGACATTTTTCCATACGACACTCATTTTTTTATTTTTGGTTTGTACCAAGAAGAATGTCTTTTTTTCTATATATACTATTAAGTTCTCCAATTCCAACTTTCTATTTAGGATCACAATATCCAAAAATCTCTTTTTATTTCTTAAAAGTTAAAACCCCGTATTCAATCAAACTAAAACACTTAAACTAGTACAAATGGAGTAACAATTAACAACAAACTTGTCATTTATCTCATTTAAGACCTCAGGTATTCCTTTTACTCTGTATATATCCCAATCAAACACTTTCACATAAACTGCGACACAGAGAGTATTGAAAGTGAGTAAAACAACAAAATCACAATAAATATTAGATCTGAACCCATAATTTTGTGAAAAAATAACATTAAAATGGGAAAAAAGGAAAGTATATGTTACCAGACGATTCCATAAGCGCCACGGCCAATAGGCATGATTGGAGGTCTATACTTGTTGGTAATCTCAAAGTAATTACCAAAAATGTCATACTGAACATATTGTCCACCATGAGTAACAATTTTAGGAAAATCAGGGAATTGAGCACCACTCATATTAGCATCAACCATTATTGCTAGATTTAGTAAAAACCTAATTTACACAAGATTATCAAATATGACTATATATAATATGATTGATTGGAGATGGTGTCTATGGGTCAATGGAGGAATTGCAGGAAGGAAGGAGGAAGGAAGTTTGATGGGAAGAAGAAGAGAACGCGTTAGGTGTAGTGGATACCATTGACTCAACAAATATACATTACACTTTTTCTCGTTATTTTCCATATTATATTAGCCGCCGAGTCAACTCTTTGCTATTCACCCTTTTTGCTTCTTGTTTGGCCACTCTTTTTGTCACGCCAACGCCAGGGATGGGCGACTTACCCATTCAGTGACTTTGGCACGGAACGTTTCCAAAATGAGGATTATCGGGTAAATTCAATATAGTAGACGTCTGTTGACATTTCAGTCTTCCTTCTCCTTTCAGGGCCTTTCCAAAAGAGAATACAGTATTTCTTGATCGTGAATATCTGAATTAGTTGTTTGTTGTTCAAGAAACGCATTTTTGAGATAGAAATTGGTATCTAATGAATTCAATGGTTCTAGTATAAATGAATGTCAAGTCGTAAATATTTCTTCATTCTTAAACAAATTTTGTTGTTCAAGTTCATGACTTTTGTTATGGAATGTGGGGTTTTTTATACAAATTTAAATTTAGTTGGATTCTAATACAAGTAACGAACACTGAATAGAAATAAAAAAAAAATTCTACCAAAATTTTATTTAATATAATTTGCAATTACTATGTAACAGTTTTGAATTGAAGATCTATCAAAAGTACTTACCCTATCTAGATTGGCATATATTCTTTTTTTCTAAACTTCACTTGTAAGATTATATTGAATATATTGTTGTTATTATTATGTTGCATTAAAGTTATACTCCATATGTCCTTAATTACTTGTCTACTTTTGAATTGACACATCTATTAAGAATATAATTATTGACATAGTGAATTTACAATTTTTACCTCTATTAATTATGAAGTAGATATATTAAAATTTTAAGATTTTCAAGAAGTTCTACCTTTTTCAAAATAATTAATTGAGGGTATAATAGGCAAAAAAAATTGTCTTTTTTTTATTTGTCAAAATAAACAAGTAATCGGGACAACTAAAAAAGGAAAAGTGGATAAGTAATTAAGAACAGAGAGAGTATTGAATATGTTGTTGTTGTTATTGTTGTTATGTTGCAGTTTGAAAATAAATCAAATGATATTTAAAAACTGAAATTATATTTGGACATGCATTTCATATTTCATGAGTAATTTTTTAAAAAAAACTAGTTTGGCGTATTTAGAATTATCTTCCTAATTCATTATAATGTATAACCAAACAATAATTTAGAAACTTTTTTTAAAAGGGAAAAAATAACTCATGTCAAGTGAACCTAAGTAGTTGTTTGGACATTGATGATATGATTGAGATATGGAAAAGAATAGTCTTTTTGAAGTTAAATTTGAAGAAAGATATTTTTAAGTTGAAGTCATATTTGGACAAAAAAAAAATTATATATATATATATTGTAATTTCATAAATAATATTAATTTAAATCTATTTGTTTATAATACAACCAAGCGTGCCTAGTTTTTGGACTCAATTTGTGTGGACTGTGGACCAAGGCGGCTTATGCTCACTCACCAGCACAACACATCACATTACATTAGAAGATAATTCTAATTTATTGATTTCTTATTCATACACGTTTACATCGTACAATTAAATACTCATTATGAATTGACATCCTACCATAACTTCTAATATTGAAATTTATTGGTAATTTTTTTATATAATATTGGTCTCCTCTAGAGATAAAATAATCCATTGCACTAATAAGTAGAAAAAATATTAATCCTTGATATTAAAATACTAGTAGCATTATAACAAGTTATGACTATAGTTACAAATAATGTTGTATAATTTGAGTCAAATGAAGAATGAAGGTTTGTTCGTATGAATTTTTACTTAAGAGAAGGAAGAATGAGTCAGAAAAATAATATTTTAATTAGCAAGACTTTATTGAATCATATACACAAATCTAGGATGACACATCAATGATAATTAGAACCATTCGATAAGCTAAGTGAGCCTCTATAATCAACTTATTAAAGGGGTTATTTGGTATGCGCTTTGTAATTTATTGATTAAAGTTATAAATTTTATGATATAAAGTTGTTATGAATCAAGTACACGATGTCCAGGTCACACGAATAGTTATTGTGCTGACAAGAGTTATTGGGCTGATAAAAAGCAATAGGGTCAGGATAATTTTGAATCCTGATCGAGTAGTGGGTGTGAAAATGGTTCCATCAAAAGGGGTAGTGGTCAGTGATTCAGGGGTTATGCATATTGAAGAAAAACGGTTATTCCTCTCTTCTTCTTCTAGAATCTAAGCTTCTCATCTCAATTCTTAATCTCTATCTTAGTTACTTGTTATATCAGCATTTCCATTGTAATTTAGTTGTTTGAGTATTGCAATTACGATTCTAAAGTTGCAATTACATTCCAATTATCTTATTAATATAGTGAGGAATTTGAGTTTGTTATATTGGTGCTTTCATTGACGTATTTTAATGGCAGTGGTGGTATTAGATTGATTCAGCGATTCATAGAGTTTTAGACGGACTTGTCATAGCAAGATTGTGAGCAAGTAGTGCAAGAATGTGAGCAAATTGTAAGTGTCACACGTGCGCTTAGTAAAAGACTAAGGACGTGACAATAGTCTATGTATACCAATTCCAAATTTGTAGTCCTTTTCTTGAAAAGAAGCATCACATTTGTTGAAAGAAAGGGTCATTTGCATCTATGACTAGTTCAATATTTTTAGTTTCTAGTAATTGTTCTCCAATTATGTGGAGTCCAAAATTGAAGCATGACTTATCTGACATATTTAAAGTCAACAGTTAATGCATCTCTCAACTGTTTCCTAAGTGTGGGCGTGGCTAAACAAAGTGATTGGACAAGACAGGCACATAATTTAATTGTTTTATTCACTATTGAAAAATAAGTTGAAGATCACGTTCAAATCAATTGTTTTAATTTGATTATCTTTCCTCTTTAATCGAAAGCCTCAATTTTAAATATTAGAAATTAAAAAAATATATATCTAATGATAATTGATTTTAAAATTGTAATTACAATTATTAGGGATATTTGCATGTATTACATAACATGACAACATTTTACCAATTATAGCACATTAATAAAAAAGAAGATCCCTTCACTTAGCCACTTAAATAGGTATAACCAATTTTCCAAATTAGGATAGGGACCTCCCCCCTCATTTGAGTTCCAAGTAAAAGCATCTCTAAATTTTTTGCCATCAATTTTGATGTCGACAAGGATAGGAACTATAATATGCATATAATTTTGGTTAAACATTAAGAATGAATCTGTACTTATGTCATCACATATATGTATATTAAAAAGTGAGACGAAGAAAAAGGTGAACAAGGCGATTATATATAGAAGAAAATTTCAATCATAACAAAATTGGCGCTATTTGAAATTATTTTTTCCGTTGATAAATTGTTATAAACAAATATGTCTTATTAAAATCAAATATTTATACCTCTTATAACAAACATATTCATTTTTAACAGAAAAGAATATATTAATTCTAAAAGTCTTCTATAAAGAGTAACTTACAACAATTGTCTCAACATCCTCTGCACTTCTTTGTCTCAAGCATTTTAGTTCCATTTCCAAATTAATGTCATTGGTGAGAGTTCTAATTCAATAGATTAGTAAGAACTATAACAAAGAACAAAAAATTACTTTATTGTTATTTAATGGGTCAAAAATGCTCCATTTTCAAATAAATATTTTTTTTTTCAACACATTCTTTTTCAAATAATATTTTTAAAATTAGCAAATGTTTATCCTACTTCAATTCAGAAAAAATAAAAATATTTTTTTTTTTTATGACAAGGGAAACCCGCAACCGCTACCCTTTGGGTGATAACAGGGTAAAACTCCTGCTCCTATGCAATAGCTCGCAAACCACTTATTTTATTACAATTATTTTTATCATTATATAAATAAAAATTAATTATGGATATATATATATGTGTGTGTGTGTGTGTATATATATGTGTGTGTATAGGGGTATATGAAGTTATTCTATTTTAATTGATAAAATGAGATTAAGAAGAAAGAAGAAAATACTTCCTACATTTTTATCTGTTAAAGAGGTTTTTAAAAAAAAATAAGAATAGAAGCCTTTAATAATATTTTAATTAGGAAGAGGATGTGTTTAAAAAGAAAAGAAATAATATATTTATTCGGAAAAGAGCATTTTTGACCCATTTAGTAACTATAGGGGCATTTCTGGACCAAATTATTGACTGCAAGGGCATTTTTGAATCAAGTATTAATGACAAAGACATTTTTTGGCCAAACTATAAACGGGAAACATTTTTATTCATTTCAATATTGTTTATGGACATTTTTTACACTTTTCCTCCTTTAATTTGTTACAAGGTTGTGGATTAGCTTTACATGTCAATTTAATAATGTGTGCCTTAAATTACTGTAATATACATCATGTTAATTTTTTTGTTGGATACCTCTTGATTCTTTATTTGAGGTAATGCAATTCCTCATCAGGTATGTAAATCACTTGTAGTTATTTTCTGTTTGCTTATTATACTAAATTGGTCTCTTGATTTTGATATATACATAAGACAAAATGTATAGCCATAACTTTTTTTAAAAAAATAAAATAATAAAAACTCATTATTTTATTTTATTTTTAAATTAAAGGAAGGCTCTTGTCCCATTTTATTATATTAATAAATAAGGGAAAGTATATACAAGAGTGGATCCAAAAATCACCCGGTCCATAAGCTCAAAACTTGGAACTAATAAAAACAAAATGGAAGGTCAGCTGAAAAGTAGAATTTCACGAACACCATCTCAATACGTCCGATCAGCCATTGATGTGTCTATCAAAACTCAAGTAGCTGGAGAACCATCACTGGAGAGACCCCAATTTCTGATCCTTCTTCTATTGGGAGTGTGTGTTTTTCCACCTCAAACAAGAGAAGAAGAAAAAAACACCAAGAGCAAATTTATGAGCCGTCGGAATCGTTCAGCAACTCTCGTCTGTTGTATCTCCTGCACCTCGCCACACCTACCAGGTAATTCTTCTATGCTATCATCTCATTCACTTTGCCGCATCTACCAGATCTTAATCTTGAATGACTAAGCCACATAAATCCCCTTAACATCTGGTTCCTCATCAGCTTAGCTTGGAGATGTGCAGCTCGATTAGCAACTTCAAATGAAACCACTGTTACCATCAAGGTATTCCTCTCATCTTTAGAACAAATTAAGTTTTTAATTCTCGCCTTTAATGTGTTGAACCCATTTGGGTTAATACCACCATCTTAAGACGAAAATTGTAACCTTACTTATTCTAAGATTGACAGATGAAACGTGAATGCACGCTAAGTATTTAGACAAGAACAAATTCTACCAGTAACTCATGTGTCTTGGCAGCATACCATTTCAACACCTCAAGCTCTCACCAGGTGCATGATATACTTACCAATCGAACATATTTCAGACATCATAAGCATAATGGTAACTATTCTCTTGTTCGAATACATTGTGCTCATTATTACTCGAACTACATTGGCAAAATATGATGATACGCTAGACTTCCCTGCTTGTCTAATTCCGATCCTGCTTTTCTAACTGGAAATGAGATTGATAGACCTTATGTTGAACCTTCGTGCAGTGAATTGTATTTTATTGAACCTACCAATAAAAGTTGTATAGATTCAATTCATTTGTCTTCTTCTTATGTGAGGAGTTCCGCTTTTATCCAAGTTTAGGATTCTTTGTCCTTCCATAGGAATGTCTTGAAAATGGCTAAAGTGATAATCACCTGCAAAATCAAAAACAGGTTAGCAAAATAATCCGCAAGAGTATTTCCTTCTCAAAAAGGTGTGTTGTACACGCGCCGATAAGGATCTTCTCAAAGTAGTTTATGGAATTGACCTCCAAAGTCACACTCCAAGGGACATTCCACCCTCCTTCCAAAATTTGTATCATGGCCATAGAATCTGTTTCAATAATGACATGTGAAAACAGATGCTCCTTACAAAAAAAACAGCCCTTCTTTAATAGCCCTTGCTTCAGCTACCAGATTAGAGGTATTATGTATTTTGAAACCCTTCGCCACAACTAATGAACCAGAGTAATCCCTAATACAAAAGGCTGCAGAACTAGGTCCTGGATTACCCCTAGATGCTCCATCAGTATTACATTTAACCCAATTAATAGGGGGAGGAATCCATCTCATAATATTAATGTTATAGGAATTATTGTGCCTTTGTAACTCAGTAATTATATCTGGTCAATTGTTTCTTCCAAAATCTCTTTTGAATCTGATTTTAATCACCTTCAGAATAATGTCATTAATCTCCCAAATAACCTTACTTTCTGAGAATGCCCCACCATGTAAAATAGCATTTCTTCTCTTCCACAGGCACCACAAAATGACAATGGGCACAACTTGAAAAATCACTTGAATTCTATAGCTACCTTCTGAAGACCACCACCTTCTCATAGTCTGCTTCAAATTAAACATAGGTCCTAGGAGACCAGCAGCTCTGAAATAATGATTCCAAATTATGGCAGCAACCTCACCTGTTAGAAAAAGATGTTCTATAGTCTCCTCTACCGGAATAGAACAACACATGCAATTCTCAGATATGGTAGGATTCCAAAAGTGCATTAAACTTGCAACTGGAACTTCACCATTCCAAATTCTCCAAGCTAGAAAGGATAATTTGAATGGTAATCCTTTAATCCATAATAGTTTCAAGTCCTCATTCTTCTCAGCTTTTTGTCTCAATAACTCCCAAGCACTTTTAACACTAAACTTCCCTGTACTCGATTTAGTCCACCAAGGTTTATCACCCTGATCACTTGGCTGCACAAAAAACATATTAAGATTGATATGCTCCACAACAAACTCAGGTAAAGCATCTTGTAAAGCATCAAAATTCCAACCCTCTTCTGTTAAGAACTCTCCAATGTCTCTCATAGGATGACAAGTATGCACATTAGAATGGTGCAAATATAAGGGACCAAGATTGGTCCAGTTGTCATACCAAATATTAGAAGTGCCTCCTCTAGGTTCCCATCACAAGTGTTGTTCTAATTCCTTTCTATTCTCCAACATGTGTTTCCAAACTTGAGAACCCCATTTACATTGTACCAAAGAAGGGATTTGTTTCTTACAATATTTATTCCATAAGAAGTTAGACCATAAAGTATTTTGAGTCCTAAATCTCCACCACAGTTTAGCATACATGGCCTTAGAAACTTCAAACATAGATCTGAATCCTAGTCCTCCTTCTTCTTTTGGCAAACAAACATTAACCCAATTAGCCCAATGCTTACTTCTAGCAGATTCCTTATTACTCCAGAAAAATTTAGCAAATATCTTATGTAATTCTTTAATAACACATTTAGGAGGAGTGATAGCAGAGAGAACATAAATGGGGATACTTTGAAGAACACTAGTAAGAAGAACTTCTTTACCACCAAATGAAAGCATCTTTCCTTTCCATGATTGTAGTTTCCCTCTTACTCTATCAAATAACTCTGTATAGTGTTCTTTCATTTTCCTCGAGTATGTGATAGGACAACCTAAATACTTCATAGGAAAAGAGCCTTTACTCATTCCTGTACATTGTTCCACATGAGATGAAATCGCAACAGCTACATTTTGGTGCAAATAGTAAAAACTCTTCTTTTTGTTCACCTTTTGACCAGATTGCCTCTCATAGTCCTGCAAGACAGTCATGATTTTCTCCAAAGAATATTCATGAGATGAAGAGAAAATAATTGTATCATCTGCGTATGCTAAATGATTAAGATTACTACTCCACTTAGGCATCCCATATCCTACAAATTGAGGATCATCAAATAAGGAATTAAGAGCCTAGATAGAACCTCTACTGATAAAATAAAAAGGGTTGGCGATAGAGTATCTCCCTGCTTCACTCCCTTAGTAGAGTGAAAAAAACCTTAAGACTGGCCATTCAACAATACCGAGTAGTAATTATTAGAAATTAGCCTCCAAACCATATCTACAAATCTGTCAGAGAAACCCATCTTCCTTAGAACCTTCATAAGGAAAAACCATGATACTCTATCATATGCTTTAGCCATGTCTAGCTTTATGACAACATTAGCAGGCTTTCTTCTTTAGGTGATGTCTGTTATCAACTCCTGAGCTAGGAGGACATTTTCAATAATACTTCTCCCTTTGACAAAACCGGACTGATTAGAAGATATCAAATTAGGGAGAATATTCTCAAGTCTATCATGAATGATTCTAGAAAGAATCTTATTAACAAAATTACTCAAACTAATAGGTCTCATATCTGAGAAGGATTGAACATTATCCTTCTTAGGTATGAGGACCAAATTAGTATGTGTAATAGATTTGGGAAGAGTGTTACTAGCAAAGAACTCCCGCACCATTCTTATGATGTCTGAACCTACAATATCCCAGCAAACTTGATAGAATCTGCCTGTAAGACCATCAAGACCACCAGAACTATCACCGTTAAGTTTGAACACAACATTCTTCACCTCTTCACCATCTGGAATGACCCCCAATGTTGTATTCTCTTCATCAGATATTAATTTTGGAATATGAGATAGTAAGGGAAAACTAGTAGCATCTCTTTCTTGCTTAAACTGATTCTGAAAATGCATTACTACTTCAACTGCTATATCTTCATCCTCCTCTAACCATGAACCCTGAAAGTTTTGAATTCTAGCTACTTTCATTTTTTGTCTCCTTCCTTTAACCAAACTATGAAAGAATTTGGTGTTCCTATCCCCACTTTCAAACCAATCATAACCAGCCTTTTGTTGCCAATACATTTCTTCTAAATGAAGATATTTATTATATTCAGCTATGGCTCTCTGCATAATATTTCTATTCTCACCTGTGGGAGCTTCCTCAAACAATTTCTCCTTAATTCGTGTTATCTCTTCTCTAATGATGAGTTGCTGAAATATGTTCCCAAATGTTTCCTTGCTCCAAATGTAAAGGGCCATTTTTACCTTCTTAATCTTCCTCTTAAAATCTAAAAAAGGATTAGAAGAGGTAGTACAGTTACAGTCCCAATTCAACCTAACCACATCTTTGAAAGTTTCATGCTCTGTCCAAAATTTTAGAAACTTAAAAGGTTTCCTTTTTACTGTTAATTCTGTCTTCACAAGTAAGAAGCATAGGGGCATGATCAGATCCTGTTCTTGACAAGTGTTCAACCTCCAAATGAGAAAACATGTTCTGAAAGTCACTGTTTACCACAATTCTGTCCAACCTCTCAAAAATACAATTATTGCCGGACCTACCATTCCACCAGGTAAATGGACTTCCCTTAAACTGCACTTGGGAAAGATCACAAGACTCTATACAAGTCTTCAAGTCTTCATAATCAGTAGCCACAATAGGTAGACCTCCTATCTTTTCTTCCCTACTGAGTACAATATTGAAGTCACCTCCAATTAATCATGGTCGATCCATTCCACCAGATAGTTGATATAAATCATTCCAAAGCTCTAGTCTTTGGGTACTATCACACTTAGCATATACAAAAGTTGCATAAAAGCTAAGTGTTGAATTCTGATCAATCAACAGAACAGTGAGTTGTTGCTCTGTGTTATTCACTACTGTAACATCATAGCCATCATTAGTGAACACCCATATCTTTACATTGATGTTATGAGTTACCATAGCCATTCTTAGTCTCCTTTTATATCTATTGATGTATGTAACATGTTGAAAAGGCTCCAAAAGAGCAACTAATGCGAACTTGTGAAAGTTATGTAACATTTGTACTCATTGAAATGCATGTTGAGACCTGACTGATCTAATATTCCATATTAGAGCCTTCATTTATATTTTTAATATTGGGATATAACCTGTCTTCTTGGTTGGACTCGAAGAGGTTGGGCTGATTCACCATCACCCTGTTTCATGCCATTTCTATCTGACTTAACAGACTTCATTACCCTTGGAGAAATATCTGCATCATTATAAATCTGCTCTTCATTTAATTCTGAAAATGTAGCACATTCAATCCCCTTAATCTCTGCTAGATCCTTTGGCTCTGAATTTGCATCCTTATGAATTAGAATGTCATGCAAAGTACTATTTGGTGGATCAGAATGGACCCTCACTACTTGGTATTCATCAGACTGCAATGTTATGGGTACTACCACTACTGCCATATTATCACCCATCATAATTTCATGGTTTTTCCTCATTGTAACAGTAGTACTATTGCTGCTACCCTGAACTGCAACTGCTATATTCTCACTGTTGACACTTTTGGAGAATTTAGTCATATTGGATTCATGTTGTTGTTCAGTACTAGTATGCTCTATATCATGCTTCTCTGGACTAGTGTAATTCTTATCTGGAGAATCACTTGATATCACTACATTATCCATGTCTTCATTTTGCTCATCATCAGTAGTATGTATCTCTCCATGCTTCTCTGGACTTTTAACATTCAAATCGGAAGAAGTCGTAGCTAAATCTACAATTTGTATATCTTCTTCTTTCTGATTTTTATGCTTCTCATTACATTTATTCATATCCAATATATTTTCCCTGTCTTCTATGTTATGTGTTGTCACCATTGCTTCTTACTTTACTTCTTTGAGATACTTCTTGCTCATCTAATGCAGGTTCCTTGCTTATCTGAGTAGACTCATTACTATCGCTCTTTGCAGAGCCACTAATTGTATGAGTATCAGACTGTTGATCATCACCTTGCAAGACAGACCCGAATGTTTTTGTGACCCACTCCTTGGTTGAACTTATATCCTCTACCCTTTTATCTTGAGATGGGTTCCCT